GGGTCCGCCGCCGTCACCGGCCGCAGGAATGCCTTAGCAAAAACTGGGGGCGACAACAGCAACAGCGCTAACACACAAAACAACAGCAACGTGAACGGCCGCTGCAACCCAAACAGCGGAGAGGTCCGCGAGCTCCGCATTTCCTATTAATTCCTACAGGATATACACCTCCAGCAAAAGCGAAGAGACACGCGTAGGTTTATGCTTGTCGGGGCTAGACGCAAATAATAATATGTACACGTGTGAGTGTAGGTGTGGCAGCGACACCGAACAAAAGGAACCAGACCCCTGCCCCTCTAGTCGCGCAAAACCCCCCACCCACACGCCTGCTACAACGTGATATTCCCTTGTGCGTGTGAAGGTATCCAAAGCGGAGAAAAGCAATGAGATGAATGCCTCACGAAGACGGGGCAAAAAAAAAAACAAGAGGAAGAGACAACACCACCACAACCCGATTCTCTCTCCCTCTCCCTTCTCAATGCAGTCACGATAGCTAAGCGGGTGCTGACACGAGTCAGCTAACATTTACATCTCTTCGCTGTGGTTTTTTTCCCTCTCACCCCCCCCCCAGTGCCATTAGGATAATGCAATGTACTTATGCGCGTCCAGAGCAAGGCTGCCAGCTCGAGTGCCCCTGTCCGCCCCCCTCTGGCTTAGCCGACATTACATCATCCAGCTGTGGCAGCAGCTGCTGCCCATGCCTCACACCGTACAGCCTTCCAGGCGGCATCGACCCCACTGCATGACACGTGTCGGACAGACGGCCAACCTCCGCCTCCAGCTGGTGTCACCCCAACGCACCCTCACACAGTGACTTGTACGCCCCACACGTCTCCTGCAGCAGTGCAAGCACCGTCGCCGCTGAAAAAGACGTGTGCGGCTTCTCCTAAACAGTTCCCCACGATTCACTGTATGACGTTTGCATGCAGTGCCGTGGGATACAATGACAACCCGCTGCGAGTGCCGCCCGCAGCGCCCGACGCACGTCACACTCAAGTCCGTCACGACGGCCTTCTGACTCCTCACCACTTTCCCGCGCGAGAACCTGCACCACAGCCGTGATGCGGTGTGACAACTTCGCGGCCTCATCTTTGAGCAGGCACCGCAAGTCTGCAACGATACGACAATGCTTGTGCATTTGCCTGCGGAGCCGTTCCTGCTGCTCCTGCACCTCGCGCCGCAGACGCGTATGCGACTCTCTGACCGTCTACAGCTCACTCTCCGCCACATGCTGCCGATGCATCAGCTCGTGTTGCGCCGTTTTCCACTTCTTCTGAAGCGGCGCATACTTCACGCGTGTAACAAGCAACGTCGTCGTTACAGGCGAGTGCAAGGTCACACCGGTCCAGCTCCTCGCACCATTGGTTCCAGAGGGCCAGTAAATCGTAGCTGCACTCACGTTTAATGCAGGCGCAGCAAAGCATCTCACCCCCTCGTAGAGTTCACTGGGGGCTGCAGCGCAACACATCATATGCAACAGCGTCTCATATGCGTCAAACCGCCGTCTCGTCATCCTTGTTCCACGGCGTCCATTTCCTTCACGCAAACTCACAATACAACGGCCCGATGCACGGCCCCTGCCCACGTCCTCATGCAGCAGCTGCGCCCCCATTTCCAAAAGCTCCAATTCGCGTCGCTCCCTCTGAAGCAGCGGCGTTATGGTTCCCCCAACCTCCATTTGCGTTACATGTGGGGTTTCTACTGCAGTGTCACTTCTCCTTCGGTACAACGTTGGCGTGAGAAGATCCCTTGCCGCCTCCGCCTCGAAGCACCGGAGCTCTTTCGCAGCGGCACTGATATCGTCCTAAAGTCACCATAACTCCTCCTCCTCCTGCTGGCAAGCCAACACCGCCCCAGCTGCGACCGATGGCTGCGTCGTGGTTGCTCCCTCACACTCCCATGGTGCGCCTCAATCTGTTGTGGGGTAAACTGCAGCAACTGCTCCGGCGGCCTTGTTTCTTTTTCTGCTTCCCACTGCCGTTACTCTGGAAGACCCGCAAAAAAGCTGTCACCGCTGACACGACGCATGCCATTCTCCTTGGCCGCGAGAGCGTGGAACAGAGATGCACGGTGTTCCCATATGCTGGTCGCCTCTTCCTGCAGCATGTGTTCCTCACGCGCCAGTTGTGCGCCACACCAGATCGCGCGTTGTACCTACGCCGCCTCGTGCCTAGGCCTAGAGGCGGCAATGCCAGAGTCAGCGGACAGCGCCATGGTGAGGCCGAGTGCTGGCGGACAGGCAGACGGCGTCAAGCGGGTCCTCCCACTGATGACTGCCCACGCGGACGCACACCCCCAGTGAAAAGATACAATACCGTTCGATGTGTGCGGCGTGCGTAATGCGGCTGCGCTGAGCGGTGGCCCCATCTTGACCGCCTGCATGCAGCGTGAACCAAAAAAAGGCAGGGAATGGTCGTGCAGCCTGCAGAGGCTGCCTGAAGACGTAAGGACCGTGATAAATACCTCCGTGTATGCCTTTATCACGACGCACACAGCGTACGACACCCTCCGCAGCGTGAACAAAAAAAAAAAACAACAACAACTTGCGAGAGATGCTCGCGTGCCCGACCAAAGCAGAGCGTCGCCGCAACGCGCTTGACGTGCTCCACAAATCCGCAGACGTCTCGAGGGGGCAAGTGCTGCAATGCTGCCGAGAGGGTGACGGCAACCCTTGCACGCACGCCATGCGATGTACCCCGCTCCGCGTATCTGGAGAGAAAAGGTGCCACCAAATCTGTCACCGACACGTCAAAGGCCCGCAGGGCAAGCCAACGCAAACGCAGCACGCCGAGCCCCACCTGCTTCTCCAGGTATGCAAAGAGTTGCAGAATGTCCTCGTCAACGTGTGCCTCCGGGCGGCCGTCAAACAACGTATGAAACCCTTCTAGCAGTAATACACCTATGCACTCGAACTTTGTGTTGTACGCGACATTCGTAAAGAATGCCTCTAACCAATCCGGTGAGAGAGCCGCCGCGGATGCTTTCGACACGCTGCGAAGATTCAGACGTGCCAGCTGATCATCGCTTAAATCGCTAATACGAAAGTCCGACTTCAGCCGCATCGATGGAAGCGAGGCAGCCTTGTAACGCTCAAAAATAGGAACGATGCGGTTGCGCACCACCGCCTTATTGGAAGTCTCCACCTGCGTCACCTCCTCCTGAAACGGCTACTGCTTAATGATGCCGCAGCGGAAGACCACAACAAACCCATCCCGTTCCAACTCGAATGCTTGCAGCGCCTCATAAAAGGCGCGGGGCAATACTCTGATGAACGTCAGACATGCTTCCATATAGCTCAAAGGCGTTACACCCTTTAATTATTTGAAGCTGCAGGGATTCCACCGCTTCATTGATGTCGTTCGGCATCTTGCAGGTGACACTTCCCAGTTTCGACAGGTGCCACCCCACCGGCGCCGGGCAAACGTGCCGCCAGTTTTCAAAGTCCGTGGATCGGTCACACGTGTACCTCGTCCCACCCACAGTGGCTCTGCCCAGGATGGGCACGGCCCTCGACTCACGTGCGCCCGCCTGACCCTGCGGCCCCAGCATGCCGCGTATGGCGTTCTGAGCACGATTGCCGTAAAGTCCATTGATGCCTGCCGTCTCCGAGGTGCTTGCGGCGGTACTCTCTGCATCCTCATTCCTCCTGCCATTCGCGTCCATCGGGGGGCTCACCTGCTCGCCCCCAGTCCCACGCTGCGACAGCTGCCGTGCGTGGAGGTGAAAGCGATGCCAACGCGGCCCTCCGTTGGCAAACGCCTAACATGCGACTCCGGAAAGTTAGCACCATTGCTGACTATGCACGCACACACAAGTCTCTAAAACGCAACAAAAAAATGACTTATGAACTCTTACCCTTGTCATTTCCCGGCCGTGGCACCACCGTACGGCTCTTCAGCAGTAAGACCAGGTGTGGTGTGTGGCGAGGGAACAAAGAGAGCAAGAGAGAGAGAAGCAGAGAGAGAGAGAGAGAGCCATGAATGAGGGACCCACCTATACCAGCAGCCACAAAGAAACAAGCAAACAAAAAAGGCAAGGCAAGGCAAGGACGCGGCCCATTGCCTGTAAAACATGCAAGGTGTAGAGAATAGTGCCGCTCCGCGAAATGCAGAGGACCGAAGCGAAGTGAGACCCTGCTCTGTACGGGTTTCTAATCCTTCCGCGTTCCGTGTGGTTTGCTCGTCACTGACCTCCCTCCTTGTCGGGAAGGCGTTTCGCTCCCCTCTCGCGCACTCACCCAAAAACAAACACACACACGCACACACGTTGTTCCCAACAGAACGATATGATGCTTTTTGCATCCCGGCGGAAACACCCAGAGAAGGTCAACCGGATGCAAAAGGCAAACCACACACGCACACACAAGTAATAATAATAACAAAAAAAAATAAAAAAAAAGCAAGCCAACAGCGCTTCACACATCCACAGACAAGCATATAGTTGTATGCCTGACATATACACGTATATTATACATTCACGCGCAGATACACACATATATGTTATATGTTGTACATCTTTCCGACGGATGAGTAATTTATGTACATGACCAAACGTTCTGCAATTCTCGCACCGCATGGGTTATTGCATTGAAGAGGGGGCAATACGCATCGTAAATAATATGCACTTCACTTCACTTCCATCTATCTATCCATCTCTCTCACTCTCTTTCTCTCTCACCTTCTTTCCATCCTAGTTGTATCTTGCCTGGTGTGTCTGCAAGCTCCTTTGCGTGGGTCTGAGTTTCATCAGTCGTCCAGCATGCACAAAAGCGCCACACCGCGCCTCACCCAGTGCTCTGGTGTCGCCGCCCCAGCGTTGAGGTCAAGCAGCACAACAAAATTTGTTGAGAGCCCCGTCGTCGACAACGCCCCTGCACGGGCACACGTTTTGTAAACGGGACACTCTAAGGTGGACCCCGTCAAGACGTGCTCCTTCAGCCGCACCGGCTCTAGGTGAATCACCGGCATGTGGGTGTACAGTTCGCGCGGTCGGCTCTCGTCAAGCATCATCCGGGCAAGATCGAAGCGGGCGCCTTCGAGGAAGAGGCCGTGGATCAGCACCCCGGAGGTTGGGGTCGTTACAATGTCGTCCACCAACTCGTACCGCGTCACATTCGTGCGGAAGCAGATGTCATCAATGGGAATCTTGTGCTCGCGGCTGTGAGCCTGCAGCACACCGGTGAGAAACCCTTGTGGGAAAAAAAAGCCGGAGAGCCAAAAGCTCATCGGCCTCCCGTTGTCGTTCCAGTCTCGAAAGAACTCCACACGCTGCAAGGTGTCTTGAAACCATGATGCCAACGGCTTGCGTGAGAGATAACCCCCCTCATGCCACAGCTGAGGCACCTGACCAAGGAGACATGCATCAAACATACCTTCCAACTCCAACGACATGACGACCTCACCTTTTATGCCACGCTTCAGTTCCAGCAGCGTGCGCTGCACTTTCTCGACAATAACATTAAAGAAATCAATCTCCTGACTCACCACGGTGCCTAGTGAGATCATCGTGCCATCTTCGGTGATTTGGTACGTATCAGGACTCGCCAGTGTCTTGTCAATCAGCGGGGGTAGCAGACGCTCAAACTCGTTCACCATGTCCATAACCTTTTCTTCTGGGCTCCGTCCTAGGGTTCCCTTGGTGCGAGGCTGCACAGAAAGCATGGAAGCTAGCTGCGTTCGAACTGTGGCACGGTTGTAAATAATGTCTGCGTTGGCGTGGAGTCCAAAGAGTTCTGGGCTTTCAAACGGCGGCAGGTTTCCGAGATATTCCTTGATCGCATCGATGGATTCCAACTCGGCCGGGATGCAGTAGACACCATCTGCGGTTATGTTGAACTGCCCCGGCGTCACCACGTCCTCGTTAAAGTATGCTTGAAGGATGTTCACAAGCGAACGCGTGTCGAGAAAGTCCGTAACGCGCCCACCGTAGTTAATAATACCAATCATGTACCGTAACGCACTCCATGGCATTTGCGTCTCTGCATCCTGGGGAATGTACTCGGAAAGAGAATGCAACGACGCGGAAAAATCCGACCGATTCCATTCATATGGAATATTCCACCCGAGCGGGCCAAACTTGCGCCGCTCCTGTATTACCGCGTGAAAGTACGTCAGTGAACACAGCAACCGGCGCCACGGGGTCGGGTTTGCGGGACGACTGTCCCACAACGTCGGTGTCACTTCGATGGAGAAACTGTCACGAATATTTGCCTTCAGTCCCTTCGGAGGCTCCTTCACCAACTTCACACCAGACTGCAGGAGCAGCACAGGAAAGCTGCGCGCCGGCATCGTCGTGAGCCACAGTCGGAAGTCTGTGTGAACTGTGATGGACGCTTGCAACTCTTCCAGACAACGCTCAAGCGACGGCATCCAGGACTCGTACACGTGACAGTTTTGCAAATACACCCACAAGCCTTCTACGGATGCCTGTTGAATCATCGCCTCCGCCTTCGGTCCCTGATCCTGACCCAGCGACAATGTGAGTTTTTTCCCACCAAACCCCTTGCGATCTGCAAATTCGGTGAAGAGCACCGTAGGATCACTGCCTGGCGTTAGCACAAAAATAATCGGCGCCGTCGGGGTGCTGTCGGCGAAGCAGCCTTCGAGATCAAAGGCGGGGCTCTCTGTAAAGGCCTTTCCAAGGTAGTGCGCGCAGATGATAGAGAGGCCGTGACTTGTCAAATCCTCACGGCACGTCTTCAGCACTAGCAACTTCTGAAACGGTGTGAGGGATGCAATGGATTCCGGAAACCACTCATATGCCTTGTCACTCGCAAACCAGCTGGACCACTCTGCCTCGTTGTCGTACACGGTATCTTTGATTTCGGCAAACTCCTCCGGGAGTGCCCGCGAGAGCGCGGTTAACTCATTCCACGCTGCCTCATTCATCCACAACGGCCAAATATCCGTATCAGCATCCACAAGCAACCGACCCTCGCTGCCCTTCAAGAGAAACTCCCATTCCGCATCCCGCACCAGCCCCTCATGCCGGAATATGTGCACAAACATCATAACCACAAAAATCAGTTTGTCCTTCTCAAACAGGCCACGGCAAACTGTACTATAAAAGTTCAACGTCATGGCTGGCAACAACAGTGCCACACGCTCCTCAACAGTATCGGCTTTCTCTGTGCGCTGCAGCGTCTGCACAAAGAGTTGCTTAAAGAAGTCAAGAGAGATTTGGTACATATGATCCAGGCCTGCAAGTTGTGAAATGACGGTGTAGATGATGGCACCACGTGTAGCCACGGGACGGTAGCGGTTACGCGCCACTTCAATGTCTTTCTGTGTCCTTTCGGATATCTCAAGAGAGGTCGTCACCGCCTCACTGGTCTCCTGCGCCTCCTTTAACGTGGTGACAAGAGGTTCATTGTCAAGAATGTTGCCAGTAGAGGAGGCAAGCAAAGTCAAAATGCGATCCTCAATCTCCTTAAGCTGGTTCCTACCATTTGCAATGCTCATCACGGTTTTAATGGCTCTTGTCTCCAGTTCAGCGTACTCGTATCGCACCACATCGGCCAGCAGTTGGTTCTCCAACCCACCCTGCGTGACAGTGAAGTTAATCACCGTCACCTTAATCTGTAGCTCGGGTAGATAGTGCGGGTTTGCTAGTTTACTCGTCATGTAGAGCCGAAATGCCGGGTCGTAGTCAATTTCAGTGTCCCCCAACTTTAGCAGAAGTCGTCCCTGTGATCGGTACGTTTGACAGAGGAGAACAGAATCGAGGGCGGCATCCACGGTTTCCTCCACATTCTCTAACAACACAGGAAGTCCCATACGAATAGCATTTTCTAGCACCCGCATATACGTGGCATCCGTGAGTTTAATAACGCGAAGGTTGTTGTCACGCTCCATCGCCCGAACCCAGTGAGCCGCTTGCCCTTGTGGATCAATGCACAGACACCAACGCTTGGACTTGTGTGTGATGACGCCATTTTGAATACTTACCGGGTCCTGTGGAAGTCCCTTGTTGGCCCAGTGTTGTACCTGCAGCGGGGTGACCATGCTGGTGAGGTCAAAGGTACTACTGCTGATAGGAACCTCAAGCTCCTTGCACTTTTCCCACCAGTTCTGCACCATGCGTGTGCGGTAGGGGGCTGTGAATGGACCCAGATATGCAACAAACCCTGCTGCAAGGGCAACCTTGCCTGGTAAACCCTTTAGCTCACCCAGCAGAAATTCAATGGCACTCCTCCAACGATCTTGCTCCCGTGACAGCCCACTCATGAGCTGCTCCGCACGATCAAGGCGCACCATGGTGAGTTCAATGTCCTTCTCAAGCTGCTCCTTTCTTTCAATGTTCTCCTGCATGGTGCGTTTAAGGGCGTCAATTTCGTTTTCGATGCCCTTCAGCCGCTCTTGCGCCTCACGAAGAGCATTGTTAGCAACGTTAAGCTTCGCCTCAGCCTCCGCAAGTCGTGCTCGCTTTGGCGTCACCACCTTCACTACTCCGTAGTAGTTGTTGATGGCCAGAACCCACATGGAGAGGGACTTGCAGGCCTTGGAGCTCTTCGCCACCTCCTCCGGCTGAAATTCTGGATTATTGATGTACCTTTGTAACGCACGCACAACACGCTCGGTTAATTCATCCCTCTTGTAGTTTTGTAGATCCTTGATAAAGTCCATGCGACTCATGACAAGCTTCGCGCGATCCCAGCTAAGATCTTTCTCCCCCAGCAAAACCAGCACCGCCTCAAGCACAAGCACGACACGAGCTGCCGGTTTCTGAAAACTCTTCACCTCGCGAATGTCGTCTGGCCGTAGCTCGGCAAGGGCGTCCTCTGCAGCCTTCAAAATAGGCAGCGCCTTGTCAAGCTCCGCTTGACACTCCGCCCGAATTCCATCCGCCTCGCGACGAATACCCATCGCCAGCTCTTCCTCCTTTGCACATTCCGCTCGCACTATCTGCGCAACCCCCTGTTCCTTTTTCACCTTTTCCATAATTTCCTCCGTATCCTTCGCTGCCTGCAGCAGCTTGGGTTGCATTTGAACAAGCTGCTTCTTCATCTCATCCACAAGCAGCTGGGTGCTCTGCAGCTTGTCGACACCGCCCTGGTAGCGCTTCGCCTGACCTGTGATCTGCTCACTCTGCTCACCCAATAACCGTTGATAGCACGTAAGCAGCTCCAGGTACGAGCTCGGCGTGGTGTAGTTATGACGACGCAGCTCCTCAAAGAATTCTTCGGAGCGCTTCTGTACGTCCATATGAATGGCAACGCAGAGTTGAATAAGACGCCCCTTCACATCTTCCTCTAGCGCCAGTGTTGTAAACATGCGCGAGGCAACGGAGCTCAAGGCGTCTGCAGGCCACTGGTCAAACCAGTCGATTGTGCAGCAATTAACAAGTGAAGGGAACATTCGCAGACGGCGACGGAATGGCTCTCCAACCGGTGACATGGCCAAGACAACATGCACGTTATTGCGACATAGCGAGACAAAGTACGAGAAGATGACATTTCGAGTTTCTTTCTTACCAGCCGCGGTGGCGAATGGCCTAACGGTCTCCACAATTTGATCCACATCCTCGTTTTGCATCAGCCCTGGCACCTCACCGGTGTTGAGGAGGTTATTGACGTCCTCCAGCATCTCCTCCCACATAATTTGGGAGTCTGACAAGAAGAACAGCACAGGTTGATTCTTGCAACCGCTTGCCAGTAAGATTTCCTTCATGCGATCACGAAACTCCGTCATGCTAAACGTTCGTGTGATGGAAACCCCGTATACCGGTAAGTCAGAGATAAATGCAGCCAGTCTACACAACGACTGCCGCCCTGTTCCACCCATTCCCACAAGTAGTGCATGCCCGCGAGGCTGTCTAAAGATGCGGCACATACGCGAAATGTGATGGATGGCGTCCTTAAAGAACACCAGCTTCACACTTTTATTGCTCTCCATCTCGTAATTCTTCTGGTAGTCGGCAAGTACCTCTTGTAGCGCATCCCCAGGGACGACCTCCTCGTATATGGAGCGATCTCGTCGCATGTAGTCTCCAAAAAGCACACTCTCCAACGCAGGGTCCCAGGGCATTTGGAACACGCCATGCATCACCTCACCTAACGCGCCCCACCACCACTGACGGTCCGTGTCATCGATAAGGCGGTCATGAAAGACACGACTAACTTCGTGGACAAAGGCGCGAAGCACAGCCTCACGGGTGGGTGCACTACGCGGTGAGACCTGCATAGTCCCCTGAACAACCTTACTGAAGTCGCGCAAGTTGAAGGTGTAGTGCGAACGCTTCGGCGTTGGAAGCTTTTCCCGACTGATTCGATCATAGCACTGCTTAATGACATCCACCAAATCCCGGGATAAGTTTCTCACACCAGCGTCCTCCCACTCGGAGAGAAAACCGTGCAAGATGCATCCAAATATACGACGGATAGAGTGGTCACTAAACACTGGCTGACACAACAGGTGGAATCGTGAAACCAACCGTTTCGTCATTTCGTTTCTGCCTCCCCCAGGCACACCACAGGCAGCAAGGTAGATGATGTCATGAACTTCCTTAAATACAGCAGGTGACTTGCGTTTGTCGTAGAACCCGCCCTGTGTGATGAGCTGACGCAACAACTCCAACGGAGGTGAGGCACCATACTTTTCAAGCGCTGGCATGTTTAGATCATCAATCACAAACACCACACGCTTTCCAGACGATGGCCCAAGAACATTGCTACGTATCTTGTACAACTTCCCCTCCAACCGGTCTTCAATGTCATGGGCACGACTCTGTGCACTCAGAACGGTCGTAAAGTACTCCCACTTACTAGAGGGATCATCGCCGCGGAGCACATTTGAGACAAAATTCAGCATAGACAGTGATTTACCGGTACCAGTGATACCGTTCAGTAACACGTGGCGCGAACTCGCCGCGAGAACACCCAGGAACGTGGTGATACTTACAGTCTCCACCGTGGGAACAATCAGCTCAAAGTACGGCAAGTCCGCACTGAAAAAAAAGCTTGGAACCAAATGGCGCCATGTGACAAACTGCATCGAGGGCTTGTGCACCACGTAGTCGTAAACGCTGAGGTTGTCGTCCATGGACATTTTGTCAGGCAACAGGGCCACAAACTGCTTCTTCACAAAGCGGTTAAAACGTTCCCGGGAATCGTCCGAGAGGTTCCCACCGACTGACCAGACAAATGACATGAGAAAATACATATCGAACAAGGTTTCGTCATTTGTCGGCACTGTCTTATCTGTGATAGTGGGAGGGCGAAATTCCTCTGGTTCACTGACTAGCAATGCAACATGGGATACACTCTTTTTTTCTGGCTGCAGTAATACATCCTCGTCTGCATCAGTCTCCTGGGCGTTGGGTGAGCGCAATGCACTTGGTAAAAGACTCTCGTCGTCAAGTGTTCGTATAAAGGCCGCGAGTAGTTCTACGCATGACACGGCCAATTGAGCATCTACAGACACAATCCACTCACGGCATTCTTTGCGTATGAAATCAAGCGTCATGGGAAGTAATTGGTTCAGCAGATCTGTGACGCGTTCGGCGCGAAACATTGGGAACAATGCGGCCTTTTGTGCAATCAGACTTTTGACAATTGGAATCCAGCCACGCCCCCCATCTACGTAGTAGGGCTCCGAAAAGACCATACCACAACGAGAGACAGTGGCAGGGGAGGCAACAGCCAAGTCCTGCACCTCAAACATAAATGTCGCCGTGGAGGGAAGCTTAATACGCTCACCACTAAACAAACAGAGAAGTTTGTTGTCATCCAGGACCGTGTTCATGTTTTCAATCCAGATAGCATCGACTGGACCATCAAAAACAATCCACTGACGATCGGCGGAGTGCTGAGCGTCCCGTGTAATGCCTCGGGCGATGTTACTAATGATGCCGTCGGTCCACTCACGCGTAATGTCATTGACCTGTCCGTACAACTCACCCATTGTGACAGACTTGGGATTGAGCAAATGAATATGCACACGATTGAATAGAGGTGTTGCACCTTCAGGATCGTGACCGTCCAACTTCAACTGGGTTAAAGCGCCTTGAAGTGTGCGCATAATTGTCGTTTTCCCACTATAAGTTTGGCCTACGAGCATCACACCATGGCGAACGACGAGTGTATCGTACAGCTGCAGCGTCTTTGTCACCAAACCTTCCACCACCTGCAGACCCTCCTTTTCCATTTCCTGCTTCACATAATGCTTCAGCAAATCGTATTCAGACTCCTCAATCTTAATGGTGGGAAATAGATCTTTGATGAGGGCCATAAAAAGAACAGTATCTTCGCGGAGAAACTTGGGCACGTTAGCGTCACGCATGGCCCGAATCAACAACATATCTTCACTCTCCGTAGGATGCTGTCGCTTTAGTCCACCTGCCAAGACAAGAATTGACTTCACCGCACGCATACCAAAATCGTAGTGATCTTGCTTGGACAATTGCTCAGAACTTAGCTTATAGAGTTGTACCATCTTTCTCGCCAAGGTTCTTGCATCGGCAAAGCCTTCAGAGTAAAACATGATTTCTGCAATAAGGGCGTAATCGGGTATCATCATACAAATTGGACGGAACAGTGCCTTCAGGTTATCCGGTAATTCAGTACGACCAGCATAACCAGGATTCATAGTGACAAAGACACCAAAATTTTTACTCAACTTAATTGGATGCCCATCGAAATACATGTGATGTAGGTTTTGTGCAAGAGCAGTGGTAATGTCAAGCATCTGCTGTGCCACCACAGAGAGCACTTCTAACTCAATACGGTTGAATTCATCAAAACACGCCCATGCACCTGCCTGAGCAAGACCAGCAAACATGCGAGACATGGTTTTGTAGTTGATACCGTCAGAACAGTTAAACACAACCACCTGTCTGGCAAGCGCCTTACCTAAATCTTTGACAGACTCCGTTTTTCCAGTACCAGCAGGTCCCTGAGGAGCGGCACCCAGATTCATGGACAAAGCACTTGTACATGTCAAGAACGCACGATCGGTCAAGGGAGTAATTACGAGACGCGGTTGATTACCCAAATACTCATAACCATACCACAGATGTGCTCCACAGTGGCGAATTGCAACACTCATACCTGAGTTTACATTGTTAGTAGCCTCCCAATAGTACCGAAGCTGCTGGGTCCATGCAAAATCACCAAGGGATGTAACGTTAGACTCATGTAGCGTTTGCACAATGTCACGACTGTGCACATTAAGTACAATAAGCGTACAAACAAGCATACGTTGAAGCTTCGTTAATGATTGCTTCACAAGTTCAACTGTGCGCAGAATTTGCTGCTGATAAGATGCATAGTAGCTCCCTAAAGATGCCATATTTATGGCTTCTTCAACTTCCCCTGTCCATACAACCATATCAACAGCTTGAATGCATTGAGCAGGGTGTTCAAAAAACCACTCTTCACGCACACGTTGTGGATATGCCTCAACAGTCTTACGCATATGCATAAGCAATGAGTCCTTCATCGTCGACTCAATCTGGCACAACCATTGCTCCACGTTCCCCACAGGATAAACAGTTTTTTCAAAGTTCACTTCTTCTTTTTCCCCAGACAACATTCCCACAATTTCCGAGCATTCCTCATCATTAAAAACAAGAGCTGCAATTGAATCAAAGCACTTGGATAGATGAGGCTGTACGGCCTTGGGGTTACGCACATCCGACAGAATAGAAAGCAATTCATCATTTGAAAGAAAGTAAAACCGTGGAAATACAACCCGTTTCGTCTCCAAGTAGTCCTCAAGCCTCTTCTGGATATGATCGATGGCCTCATTGCTCTTTTTTATTTGTTCCAGCACACCAGTATCTGTGCAAATCTGATATACATTCTTGGTTGTGGCTGCCCGCATCGTCAGCATCCGAAACAGTTCATCCACAGCTGTAAATTGATCGCTTTCCTCGGGAAGTTGAGCCTTGATATCATCAGAAGAAAATATAAACTCCAGATACATCCAATTCTTTTGTAGAGTAATCCATTCCTCAATGACATCGTCCACATGCCGAAGATTCCGAATCCAATCCTCCACACGTTCCCGCACAGGTGCTACAAAACGAGAGGCCATAATCGTTTGAAGCTCAATTTGGTGATCATCAAGCTGTTGAATGACATCTTCGAGTTGAGCTAAAATAAAAGCTCTTTCACGGTTCTTGTAGGGCATTGTTTCAAAAGGAATAACATCCCATACAGCTTTGATTTTATCAAGATCATTAACAATCTTCCACTCACCCGTGGCAAACCCGGACTGTTCTGCAAGAATATCTTTGTGATCCAAAATGTTGTATTCTTGAAGAGTTTGCAGATTAAGACCCTCATGATAGCGATTGTCTATACCGGTAGCTTCCTTTAATACAATGTTCCAGTGCGCGGGGGTCATGTGTTTATTTCCACAGTCATGAATAACTTGTATGCTGCCACGAAGTGCCTGAAGCTCTAAGAGGAGATGTGGTGTAACCTCGTCTTCATATTCTTTCTCTAGAATCTGCCGGTTAAGAGCAACGGACTGCCGAACCATCGCATTGACTTGATCCTCAATGGCATGTGTATCAAGTTCTTTTAAAGGGCAGGTAAACCATTGCTCTCTACTGGAAAGAAAATTATCAAATAGTGTCCAAGTCTCATAGCGGATATTAAGTAAATTGACCATCTCGTAAAGACACGACCAGTCAATGGCAGAAGTATCAAACAACTTAGCATAGTGGGTAAGTTGTCTTTCGCTTTCTTCAAGTTTGTCAAGCTTGAGCTTGATATCCTTCAAGTACTGAATAATAGGCTCTATATTGTCTGTCAGTACAACAAACTCATCACCAGATATAATCTGCTTAATACCAATGCATTCATCCTCCACACTAGCCACGGTCACCTCCAAGGTCTGAGTATGAAAAGGCAAATTTTCCTCAATGAATGCTTCTGCTTGAAGTCGTGCATCATCAAAGGCTATCCTAAGAGACATAGATGCACTGCTGCTACTTCCCAGAGTTCTCTCTTTAAGCTGCTTATCCTCATCTTCCAAAAACTCCACCTGTTGGCGATCCATTAATTCACAAAGAGCATCAGCCTGTGCAAGTTTGGTTTCTGTTTCAGGTGCCTCATGTACAATGGCCTTGTAATTTGCAACATACTCAGCAAACTCTTGAAGCTGAGAAGGACGCTCATTAAGTAATTGACTTTTCTGCTTAAAGTAAACATGTAGTGCTGCAATAGCATCTCTTGTAATCGAACGAAGTGTTACATCAATACCTTCTCGAATAACCCGCATACGTGGCTCAATCTCGGTCCTTAACTTAGCAGCATTGACCCACAACATATGACCTACAAAGGATGCCATCAATACACGTAGGGCATCATGAGCCTCTTGTAACTTGAGGTACAACTTAGCCAAACTTATTGCAGAAAGAGGTTTTTCTTCAGTTTCATTTTCCCACTCAGCCAAAATAGAGCTCCATTCTCTCTGCAGAAAATGAATATGAGGCAGCGTAATAAGATATGTTTGCATTTTGGTGTTTGCTTGAGCATAATCATGACCCACCAATTGCAAGATACTCTCTTGAAGGAATAGCATACGGGCGTCGGACGAAAGCATGTGGCCCATGTTCCAGACACGAGGCGTCTTTGAAAAGTAACCCTTCAGATGCTTCTGGTTACACAACCGCACGGTTGAATTTGCAACTTCAATGCATCCTGCAATAATTTCCAGACAAACTGCTCGAATGGACTTCTCAGCCGGGTTAAACAACAATTCAGTTTGTGTGGCCTGCAACAAAACCTGAAAACCAATGGAACGCAATTCTTGATTATCTTGATTTCGAAGAGTGTTAAACAACGACTGTATTGACGAAAGAGTAGTCCGATATACTGTTTCAGATGCGATACAATCCACCAGACAAACAAATTCATATATCTGAGAGTATTCCACTATGCTTCGCTTTAGCTCACGCATTCTTTTAAACTGCTCTTCGCGAGCATCATGCATCGACTTCATTTTTATTTGAGAACGAGACGACTTGCTTCCTGACATCACCGCGTTGGCAAGTAGATACTGCTCTAAAGCTTCCCTCGTATTAAGATCAGGCACATCGGCTTTACGTTTCATGACCTCAATCAGTTTTGTTACATCTGCTTCAATTTGATCAATACAGGAACCCAAAACTGTAATACTCTTCTGTCGTTGTTTCAATTGTTGCGCTCTAAATTCTTCAATAACGTAATCATGTTTGCCCTGTGCTTCGTAGAGGATAGGTGAATATGTAGTAAGCTCATAGGAACTCTTCAAAATATTCACAACAGGGGTACTGAAGGTAGCTTTCGATAACAAAAATTCCCGTGAAAGTGATTTCCGAGTCCTTAAGAACTGCTTTGCTCTGCTATTTTTGTGCCACCGAAGAAAAGCCTTATATACCAGGTAGGTCCTGAAGAAATGAATTCGACGAATAACATCGAACAAAGAGGACTCTCGCATCCATTGTGCCAAACTGACAACTTCAGAAGGTTGCCCTGGCCGAACATGGACAACGCCTGTTGCACTCATAATATAGTGCTCCCTTTCTTCTACTCCACGTTTTACAGTACATACAATAAGATCATACGGCCTGAAATCTAGAACTTGAGGCGCACGCTCCAAGTAGACATACTTCACTTGACTACCCGAACCATGAGCAGCAAAGAAAGCAATGCAGTCTTCATCTGTCTGCAAGCCACGGATGGTACTTTGGTCATTTGGAGCCACCTGAGTAAAAGACTTTTTTGCGGGTGGTCGAACAGCTTTCTGAATCATTCGCAGGATCTCACTATCTCTCTGTTCCAATCGAGAATCCCAAAGTGACAACGCTGTAGCCACAGAATTCCTATGATAATTCCCATCAAAAGAAACAAATTCGCGTATGTGGGACTGCACCATTGCATCGCTCTTCTTTTTTATTCTCTTTGATGCTGATAGATGTGTGCGGCGCGGTTCATAGGTAAAGCTTTCAGGTTTTTGAAACCTATAAAGTTGGCGAGGACTGCTTGTTCGATTGAGTTCCAACTGCACCTTGACGTCGAGATGACTTTGGAGAGGGTTGTCACTCTTATTCGCAATTTGCTTCAAGGAACCCAAAAAGTCTGGGTCGGATTTCTTTTTCGTGAGCATCTTTCCCGGTAGCAATTTCTTAACCAGAGAATGGAAACATACACATACATAAAAAGAGAGAGAAAAAGAGAGATTATCATCAAAAAAAAAGGGGGCAGAAAAAATAAAGGAATAAAAAACCATAACCGACCTTTCCAGTAAAAAGATCAAAAATAGAAAAAAAAACAAACAAACCATACACACAGAAAAATAAACCCTTGGCTAAGAAAGTATTCGTTCTTTTCTCGTTCACTAAAGCGTTTCTCCTCTTGCTTCTGTATTTAAGTACTACTCAGACGCAGGTGTCAGGACCAAACATTGAGATCCTCCAATCTCTTTGGAAATGCGTAGAACCCTCCACTAGGTCTACCCTCCTCATCGTAAGGTCTTCCGTAATTCTGCAGCTTTTCTTTTTCTTCAGCGAATGCGAGATTCTCATCGATATAAAAACTCCCGCCAGAGAACGATTTGAACAAGAGTTTTCCTTTCTTGTCTCCATCATTTTCGGGTAATTGATACACCCCTTGAAATTTGTCTTCACCCCAATTACCAAAGCGTTTTTGCATCTCTTCAACACGCGAGAAGAACTTAGCGTGCTCACCCTTGTATGAAAGATTACATTCGTTATCCAAAATATCCAACATCTCATCAATGGGGATGTGTACAAGTGAATGATATTTTTTCAGTGAATCAGTTTTTTTGGTAAGTTCAGTGAGGCATTTTTGAACATAGCTCAAAGGGAAAAAACGATTGTAAGTAAAGTGCTGACCCAGTAAGTACATGAAATATTGGTGAGGTATTAACGGTGGTGCTATATACTGCAAGTGTAATTGATTCTGCGAAGGTGGAAAATTAAATCCAATAAGGGTGTGCTTTGCTTCAAGTAAATCCGAATCACGTAAAATAGAGGAGGTCCATTCAGGATCGGCAAGAAATTGTTCCCTGAACGCCTTGTGGGATGCATTCACTAGGGCCTGTACTATTTCAAGCCCCTCTTTTGGAGCCTGAAGGAGATAACGCCAATCTGGTATAAAATCCATTGTTGGAATGGCACAAAAATGCGCTGGTGAAAGCGCAAGCGGATCATCAAAGACAAGACACGACTCTGTTTCATATCGAATGGAAATTCGAAGCGGAAAGTGCCCACTGTCCTCTATACCAAGAACAAAGGCGGTGAATAAATTGGGCGTTTCCGTCACCTGAACATCATCCAGGGATGCATTACATCGGTTGCACGAGGATAGCGTCAAAGCACACGCCTTTTTACACCGGCGGCACTGTTTTATATTGCTAAAAAGTACTCGGTGTGCGCGCGGCCCCCCTTCGCGGGCAAAAAAATCTTGGACGTTTCCTCGCACAAAGGGGGCGTGATTTAAGACATGCGCTGCGGAGTCCTTGAAGAACCCAAGCCTCGGCCTTCCGAAGAACCAGTTTTCCCCCGCGCCGGCCATGGCGAGCACCTGGGGCGGACGTCAGAGAAGTGAGCGGCAACTAATAATAATAATAATAAAGAAAAAAAAAAGAAAGGGAATGGATTCAAAAAACAGCGGGCGGCATGGTGGCGAGGAGTGGTGCGGCGGCGCCCTGCGCCTGGGCCGCGCGGGGGGTCATGTCGTCCCGGCTTTTTGAGGCCCAGTCAGATAAGGCGGGTCCGGTCGCAATGGTGTGCGTGTGTTGCGCTGAATGCTTGGGGTGTGTCAGTGTGTCGGTGTCTACGCGTGTTGATGCCGCGTTTGGGGGGCGGGGGCTCAGTGTTGTCGAGGTTCTTTTTTTTTTGTGTTTACACGGGCGTTGGTTTAATGAGTATGTGTTTTTGCAGAAATATCTTTGGTTGTGCAATTTTCTTTTGCTACAAATTTTCTTTGATATTTACATACTGTTCTTGTTTTCCATTGTTTTTTTTTTCCATTTTTGTACTTTTTGTTGCCTGCTATTCATATATAACTAAACATTTTTTTTCTCTTGAATGATTGTTTTCATGTTTATTTTGCGTATGTAGTAGTAATGTCCCGTCGAAAGCCCAATCTGACATTGGCCGGTCCAGAGACCACGTTGCAAGTTCTTGATATGGGATTGGACTTCCGTTCCTACTTATCGCGTGTAGACGATGCAGGCCTCCCTGTTTTGGGAAATGTAATCTCTTATGAGGCTAGTAAAATACCAGATGTCTTTGAGCCTACAGTAGGATTACTTGTAACGATATTGCACATGTATACACAAAGCACTACCCCGGCGTCTGCTTTTGTTTGGCTTCAAGCTTACGAGGCCATTCAAAAGTTATATTTAGATCATGTAGATCAACAAAATCAGGAGTCCACAAGGTATGCTAATGAAGCACGCATGACTATATTAAACCATTTGTCCAGTGGTGGGGCGATTGACAGTAGTGGTCTTTGCGAGAAACTACTACTATTACTTGATCAGCAAAGTGGTATTCGTGGTGCACAGGCCCCATCTCAAAGAAAAGTTCCAAGAGAGCCAAAAGGCGCGTTTTGTAATCTTCATTTAGCGGATCAAAAGTGTTATCAGGATTTTGTTTGTAATCAGTTACATCTTCATGAGGTAGGCCCTGTCAGGCACCGGATTAATTTTTTTTTGAGATTGGTTGAAGTTTTAAAAGCCGAAAAACGTTCAAAAGTGGAAATACTACATAGAACAAAGGATTCTATGTTTTTTGCCCGCTACGGAAACAAGGTAACGGTTCAATGTCATGGAAAATGGATTCCTTTTTTTAAGACTGTCTATACAGACGGCAGGCTTGAGCAGGCCTTTCGAATACAGCAGTTTTCTTGTAACAATAATGGGTGTACCGATGAACACTGCAAAGGGATACATGTACAGGATCGCCGTGTGGTGTCATCGAGCAAACAGATGGATCTTCATAATCCTCAAGCTTTAGCTACCCAAATTGAAGAAGAGGCGCAGCGCCTTTTTTCATTAGTGAGTGTTTGTAAAAATCAGACATCAGAGGTGCCTCCTTCGCTTTCACTTTCATCACCCATGGTAACCATTGCTTCACCAACTTCAGAGCTTTGGAGAAATACCGTTCGAGAATATGTTCGTCAAACAGGAATACCGCAGTTACAGGCCGACGAATCGCTGCTTAGAACATTACAAGATGCAAATATCATTGGAACACCTGCTGCTTCAACTGAAAGTTTAACGCCCTTATTGGATGAACTTGACTTGCACGCGTTCAATACCACTAACTCTCCGTGTAACAACGATGGTTGAGCATTACTAGGGACTGTTTTCATGTATTTTGTGTTTTTTTTTTGCGAGTCGCAGCGAATAGTAATACTATACAGAAAGGATGGTGTGAACACAATTATGGCGAGAAAACTGCCGTTCTTGCTTTATTGTCGACCTAAAACTTGTTCGACAAAAAAAAAACAGAGCGAATAAAGAAAGACAAGTGGTGTATTGGAAAAAAAAATACGGGAAAAAAAACTCAAGAAAAAAGAAGAAAATTGAGACTGTAATGAAAGTGGGGAAAGCTGAGGAAAAAATGGAGATTTATTTAGATGTACTAAGCGATTATCGACTTTTCTGGGGGATTCCAGAAATGGTAACTTACAGTTCTATCTGGGGGCTGGATTTTTGTGGTCATCATGCCTCTTTTTTCTCTCTTCCTTATTGAAAAACAGCACCAAAAACACGAACACACACACACACACAAAAAAAAAGAACTTTATTCACGTATATGTGTTTTCTATTTTTTTTTTTTTCTTTGGTTTGGCCAGTGCATCATGCTTTGATTTAGCGTATTTTTGTTGTATATATATATATATATTTCTTGCTTTGCTTTCTTACGCAATTCTATGTGATGGAATCAGACGTATGACTCAATCCTATTAATAACAATAATAGAAAAGGAAGGTCTATTCAAGAAAAGACAAGGAAAAATAATGAAAAAGGACATGCTACTGTTGTTTGTTTTGGCATTGGTGTTGCCTAGTTGCACTGCTTTGGAGCCTTCTTATGGTGTTCAGGACGAATTTTTGGAACTTTTTTCTTCAGTGAGGCGTGAGGAACCTTTTGCTTGTTTGAGCGGTAATGCAACGATTATGGGTTATCAGGTTAATGACGATTATTGTGATTGCCCAGATGGGAGCGATGAGCCGGGTACCTCAGCTTGTACCACGCACTGGGTGAGGGTAAAATTCCCTGCCAAATGGGACTTCAAATGCAAAAATATTGGATTCATGCCAAGAGAAATTCCACATAACAGGATCAATGATGGAATATGTGATTGCTGCGATGGTTCTGATGAGTATTCTGGAATTACTGTCTGTCCCAACGTTTGTGCTGAGGCTCAGGCACTTGAGGAAAAGAAAAGATTAGAGGATGAACGAATCAAACAAGTGGGACTGCTCGAAAGGGAAAAAATGCTGTCACATGTAGCGGTAAACAGGGCAAATGATAAAGTTCAACTTGAAAATGAAACTGTGGAATTAGAAACATTGAGGAAGGCCATCGAGGAAAGCAACATGAAGCTTCCTCCTTTAGAAGAAAAAGAAAAAGAGGAGAAACAACGCTTACGTGACGCGTACAACGCAGCCTTTGAGGTTTGGAAAAATGAGCGCGAAAAAAATAAATCACGCAAATTGAATACCACAGTGAATTCGACTATGAGTTGTATTAGATGGAGCCAGTCTGGATATTGTGGCGACGAAGAGGAATTGCCTTTTAGTGACAAAGGTTGTGATGAGGTTATTTCATCTTCTGAAGCTGGCTTTTGTGAGTGTTCCAGAAACGAAGAGGACTCAAAAGTGGTTTATGATAAAGAATGTGGTCATGAGCCGCTGCAATGCTCGAGGATTTGTGAAGGGAACGTTGAGAGTGAAGAATCAGATACCGATCACTTTGACATGGATGATGGTTCTTTATTTCAATTGCCAGAGGCAAAAGACCTCCGTTCTGAGTTGAAAGAACTTCGTGAGAAAGTGGATAAGCTTTCATCCTCTGTGGAGGAGATTGGAAAACGATTAAACCGAAGTGTCAACACAGAGGACATTTTGAGAACCCTCAACAATGAATGTTTTACACTGGATGTTAATAGCTATACATACGAACTTTGCCCTTTTAAGGATACTCATCAGTACGATAAAGGGTCGAAACACGGTCCAAATATGGGCCAGTGGGAAAAGTTTGGCAATAATACATACTCCCTTTGGTCAAATACGGCGGATTATACTCACATGATATACGAGAATGGTGACCGATGCTGGAACGGAGTACAACGTATGACTGATGTTCATGTTATATGTGGTTCAGAAAATAAACTGACTCAAGTGGAAGAGCCATCTATGTGCAGGTACAGTATGGTGTTTCAAACACCCGCAGTGTGCGAATGAGTTATACCTGAAGAATGGTGCTACTGCGCAGTATTGCTAAGGGGAATCATAACATTTTTTTTTTAAAAAAAGATACAAAAATGGAAATAGAGTAGTAATATTCTTTTTTTTTTTTTTAATTATGACCTGAGTTTTCTACTCAATGGTTTACCTAAGTATATGGCTTTTTTTTTCTTGTGTGTTTGCTGGATTAAATTGAGCAGTATGTTTGTCGTAGGGAATAATAGCGGCAGGATTAGTTGGTGTTGCCTCATCAGGTGCTGCTTATAGATTTATATATACAACATTCACATACACGCGAAGGACACTAGCAAAAAGAGGCAATCTGACAAATAATAATATGTTGCTTCAGTACGCAGTAAATTGCGTCATACTGGCGCTTCTAATTTGTTTTGCGTTTGGTTATCAGATGCAGCGGAATAAGGAATTTAATAGTAGTCGATTTGAGTTGGCGGGTGCGTTGTTTGGCGCCAAAGGCATGTCTAATGAAGGTTTTAAGAAGGACATACAATCGATTGAGGACTTTTTGTCGACATTCAAAGACATTGTTAAGGCATATTATACATTGCCATTAACTGGTACGGGATTTTTTATGCATTACACAGTTGATAAGGACAACTCAACATCTATTCCTCCCGAGCTAGAGATAGCTTATTATCAGGAATGTTACGAGCAGGGAAAGTGCTCAAACACCTTTCATAAATCGTTTACTCTTCTAAAAGAGAACCCACTGGGACCATTTGCGCATCCAGAAGCCTTGATTAATGGAAGCGAATCCTGTGAACCACGTCGAGATATGGATGGGTCATACTACGTACCGTGCCGACAGTCCCCAATAGGGCAGCTCTTTGACCACCTCGTCAGCGTCAAGCTGACGTTTTCACTTTATTCGTTGGTTCGACAACCGAACGAGTCACCAAGTCCGAGACTGTGGTTTGTATCGTTTTTGTTTGAGTTGACTGGACATAGCTCCGTGATGACCATGAACGCTTCATTGAATTGTATTGATAGGCATGCCCCTGAGCGACTTCCCATAATGATTAGTTGTACGTTGTTTCCACTGGTCGTTTTTGGGTTTCTGCTTCGTATTCGTACATTTCCTCGTTTTTCAGCTTCCGTATATGAGATCTTTGGAATTCAGAAAGGTGGCATTGAGGATGTGCGGATATTTTCATCACGTTTTCACCGTAATGAGGGAGGCTGGCGTTGGTTAGGCTTTCTGTCGGATGGGGTTGTGTTGGCCTTTAGTATTGCGGCAATTGTAAGCCAGTTTTGCTCTGAAACCATTTCCAACCTGGAGCTGGCAGTAACGATACTTCTCGGATTTTCTGTACTCATAAGCTGCATTCGCTTGGTATCTATCTTGAGACTCTTTCCAAGTTGCTATATCATTATTGATAGCATTGTGACGGCAGGGCATCAGCTTGCGATGTACAGTGTAGCCGTTTTTTTTGTTCTGTTTGGCTATGCTTTTTGTGGTCACGTCGTCTTTGGAGCTTTTGGTGGCTACTTTGGAACGCTGCCCCGTTCCATCGTCACACTATTCTGTACGTCCTTTGGTGACAACATGATTGATACGTTTTTAGTTATGGACCAATCGACGTGCATTCTTCAGATGATTTTCGCTCGCATTTTTTTCGGCACCTTCATTCTTTTATTTATATGCACCGTTCTTAACGTGGCTTACAGCATCATTCAGGATTCCTACACATACACTGTGCGAATGTACTCAGCGTCACGCCGGGACGGCGGTCCAGAACAGTATAACGCAGTTGGCGTCAGCGCGGAGGAGTTAGCAGACTTTTTGGAAAAATTGCGGAAATAAGGACACACTCTGTGCGTTGTTAAACAATAGACGTCTTCCTTACTTTTTATGTTCGTGTCCCCCACCCCCATTTTTTTTTTTTTGCCTTTATCTCGTTTGGTGTGTCTGCGTGTACGTGTTCTTGCGTTGTTACTGGGGATCCTTCACAGCTTTTTACTTATGCAACGTGTATAGTATAGTTTCTTCAACGTGCATATGATCTTTCCAGTGTTATATGTATTTATTATTATTATTTTTGTAGTTGTTTACCTTACACATTGGACACTCACACACCTGCTCTTTCTCTCTCGCTTTGTCACTGCCACCGTTTGTGGTGAGTTTAACCATTGCTCCTCTTTCTCTCCTTTTTTTCCCCCTGTGGGTGACTGCAGTTTTTGGAACGAACCTGAACTCAATACGCACATAGAAGCAGGGACGCATTTTGTGTCTTGAAGGAGGCGATCAGCCAAGCAAACCTGTGACAAGGGGAACCACGAAGTAGCGGTTTTTCTCTCACTCTTCTTTTGAATTGAAATCAAAGGCGTGTGGGGACACGTTTATGTCGACAGGAGTTGAGGCGCATTGCTCACCAAGACGCTGGCCCATAGGTGGACGGCCCAGGGATACATACGGGCAGAGTCCGTTGAGGTCGTGGTACGCGGATACATTGGATCAGTCACGGACGGCCATATCTCCGCTAAGCCCGGTGCAGACTCGCAGCCCTGTCACGCATACGTGCCCGGAGGGCTTCACGCCGCGACGCACCTCTCCTGTTGTGGGTACCCGTGCTTCCCACCTCTCTGGAATTGGGCCGATGTCCCCCCGCTACGCCGTTGTCGCCCGTCGGCGATACCAAGTGATGACATCGGACTATCCCGTCCACCCACAAGCAGCATCTACGCGAGTGGCGACGACTCATGCCAGGGTGTTCTCTTCCACGCTTATTCGTTGTGGTGCGGCGGCGTCTCCTGCACGTTGTGCAGTAACCAATACAGCTTTATCCACGACAGTACCACACACGATGCATCAGTCTCCGCTACACGACGTTGTTGCCGCGTCACATCCCGTGTCGGCTCGCCAGCAATGTCTGCAGCAACCACAACAGCACAAACCAGCCGAATGGCAGCAACCCCTACGACACGCCACCGCTGGACAAAAGTTGCGAGGAACTCGAAGGGACGATGATTCTGTTGTGGCAAGAAGCGAAGATGTTCCAAACATGGATGATGTGATTTATGTACCAGTGAATACATTGAACCAAAAACCGCGTGCAAACAATGGAGTAAACGGGAGGATTGTGCACCAAATGAGGCATACCCAAGCAGAGGATGTCTCACGGCATGCTTCGATGGCAGCGGAACGCGTTCCGCAGCAAGTTACGCAAAGGGTTGTGACTCCCTCAGCCAACCGGGCACCGCGAGCGAGCTTGCGCGGCTCCTTGTATGCGTCACCGACAATGGATAACAGTTTGCGCGGGAGTTCACAACGCAGTGACTTGAATATTACGCTTAACCGAGAGTTACCCATTCACGAAAGCTTGTGTATTCCTGCGCACCGCAAAGCGACGTCTGCAGTGACCGCGAATTGTATGTATTCATCTCTGTCTTCAACAACTGTGCATAGATGTCTTAATGGCAGCTCTGCTTCAAAGGTGTTATCTCAGCCAATAACGGCTCCGGGAAGCACCACACCAGGCACAACGCCTGTGCAAAGTGACGAATCCAGCCGCAGCAGCACAGGCACATTGAATCTGTCTCATCGTCATTCACGAATAACTTCTTTCGTTCGAGATGGACACTTCTCTTTTGTTTCCGCTCGGCCTCTTCTTCAACAGTTTGTGCAGCGCTGGCGTAATCACTACGAGGAAAACAAGAATGCATACTGCGAGGGCGGGTACATGACCGTCACACCAGGCAAAAAGTTAAACTCTCGCTACGTGGTGGTCCAAAAGTTGGGTTGGGGTGAATTTAGTACGGTGTGGCTCACGTACGACACAATGCACAAAACACTTGGCAAACCGCACCAGGCATTTGTGGCGCTAAAAATTGCCAAATGCGATAACACAGTCTCGTGGAGTACGCAGTACGAGATCAATTTACTCCGCTACATTGGGGAACGAGCGTCGCCCACGGTCTCACTCACTAACCTCGTAGACTACTTTGAGGTGCCCGGCCAGTATGGGTCGCATGTATGCATGGTCATGCCATTGCATGGCTCGAATCTTCTCAGCATCATTGATCAGATGAAGGCGAAAAAGCGACAGCGGTCACCGCAGGAGATTTGTTTGATCAAGGAAGTTGTCGCTTCAATTCTTTTAGGTCTTGAGGAACTGGATGGGTTGGATATCATTCATACAGACATCAAACCGGAAAATGTCCTTTGCTCTTCACCAGATCTGAAAGTGATGGACGTGATTGAAACCTTTTGCCGACGTAACAAGGAGCGCTCCTCCATGGTGCCGTATGAAACAGTGCGAGAAGCTATCGCACGCGGGGATCCAAATCATCTTGTGTATATTGCGGATTTTGGTCTCTCCGTGGCCCTGAAACCACCCACCGAGGGAGCTGCATTACATGAGTCGAGTAACTCCCAGTCATTGTTGAAAAGTCTGATTGGGCAGAAGCGAGAGTTCCCTGTGGAGAAGTCGGGTACAGTGACAAATCTACGGGGGACAATGATTCAAACTCGTGAGTATCGTGCCCCGGAGATTATAATTGGTCTAGACTTTAACACACGTACCGACTTATGGAGTGTCGGATGCATGGTGTTTGAGCTAATCACGGGGGACTTTTTGATGGATCCCAAGCGTCGCACAAAGAACGAGCGGATGATGGACGTTGAACATCTGGTAATGATGATGCAACTCCTGGGGCCTGTCCCGGAGGATATCATTCGTCTTCGCACACAACGAGATCCTAAGCGTCCCCCACCGAGGTATATTCATCGCTACTTTAATGAGAGTGGTCGGTTTATTTACGCCGACAGGTATCGCCTTTACCCACGTCGACACTTAGACAGGGAATTGGAGGCGTTTCTGCCCACAGATGAGGCCAAGCGCGCTGCGGATTTCATCATGCGTTGTTTGTCATCGTATGACCCGGTATTGCGCCCCTCCGCGCATGACATGTTCACCCATGAGTGGCTGTCGGAGGTCATGGGCCAGCGGAAGCACTGAACCTTGATTTTCCTCTTTTGTTGTTCTTGTTCCCCACCGCGCACGACCCACCCATTGCCTGCGGTGGGGCGGAGGCTAGGAGCGGGGGAGATCAAAAGGTAGAGGGAAAACGAAACAAAGGACAAAAAAAAAGTGAAAAACCTCATAATGCCGTATCAATCAGTAAGAGCAAAGGTGAAGACAGATTACACGTCAAATATGTTTTAGGCAGCGTTAGCGTGCTGTGAGTGGCCGCGTCGGTATGTTTAGATGTATATGTGTGGATGAACGGGTGGTGGTGGTGGTGGTTAAAGGCATGCAAACGCATGGGCGCACATCGGCAAATGCAGGAATAAATAAACGGAGTACCGCTGACGAACATGGGGAGGAGAGAATTGTGTCATTGGGGAGGGGATGCAGCCTCGGGATTAGTGCCCCTGATCGCCTAAACACTGACAGTTAGGTATTTTGCATTACTCAACGATGTGTGTCAGTGTGGGGTGAAGTTCAGCTTACTCACGTACCCGACCTTTTCCATCGTATTTTGCCCCTCCTTATTTTGTTCTTTTTTTTTTTGTTTTTGTTTTGCTTACTACCATTAAATGATGAATCACTTTATTTTTCCTCTTCTTTTTTTTCTGTATCCCGGTTTGCGCTTTTGAATTCTGCCATGCCTGTGAAGGCGGCCCCCATCAGTTTCGATGCGTTTTTTTTTTTTCTGCTTCATTGCTGGGGACCCGTCATGCTGCATCCACACATATGTTTCTTCTGCAAGCTTTGTCAAAACCTTTTTTTTTTTTTTGCGTTCTCTTCCTCGCTTCATGCGTGGGAGGGATATATTGGAGCTGGCATAGGCGGAGTCGGTGTCTGTGGGGGTGGGGGAATGGTGATGTGATTTGTTTTTTTCTACAGTGCCAATTCATATGACAGTATGCATGTGACAGGGACGGTGTTAGTGGGGCGGGGTGCTTTGCGTGTATGCATGTATAGGCACAATTACACACGTAGGCACGTCATCAGACCCCTCGACGTATTTAGTGCTCGTCTTTTTTGTCTCTGTGTGTGTGTCATTATTTGTTTGTGTAGATGCAGCTGATCCTCTTCATTTAATTCAGCTCCCGTTTCCCCTTCTTCCTCCAACACACACTGAGAGGGGTGAGGAGAGAGGGACAAAGCGAGAGGTGTATGTGCAAATGGTGCTGTGTAGAGGTACCTGGTTTTCTTCAGGGAAGAGAGAACGCCGCCACGTAAGCTTTACTACCCCACGTCACTCTCTTGAAGCGCACGTCTGCACAGGCGCAGAGGAAAACAATCAAAAACAACAACTAAAAAATGAAAAGAAGAAGACACCTTTCAAGAAGAAGAACAAAAAAAAAACGGCAGCTGCATTGATGCTGACAATAATAAAGGTGAATTCCTTGGGCTACGAGTATGTTGGAGGGCGAAATGAAAATACGGAGCTGAAGGGAAAGCGGGATGTGCCTGGGGATGAATGATGCGTCTCATAATACATTTTTTGTCTGTTTGTTTGTCTGTTTGTTTGTGTGTGTGTGGTGTGTGTGTGTGGTGTGTGTGTTTTTTTTTGTATGTATGCTTTGTTATTGATTCTTATTGTTTTTTTTTTTGGATTCTCTTCCTGTTTTATTGGGGCCCTATTTGGGCCCCAAATCTTTTTTCCACCCTGCGAGAATGGGCTTCCGTTTTTATTGTTCTTACTGTTTTTTTTTTTTTTTTGCGTGTGCGCGTACTTTTACCCTTCCCCACCCCCGCTGCGTGTGCGTGGTCTTCGTTGACTGATATTGTACTTGGTAGATGCCAGTATATGTACATATATGTATGTATGTGTAGTAATGTGCATGTATGATATACCTGTACGTACGTGGTGTGTGTGGCTTTGGCAGGAGGCACTCTCTTGCGTCTTGTGGGCCGCACAACGAGGTTGGACGGGAGTGGGAAGGCGAGGAGGAAATAACCGACTGCCGTGACTCCACTTGGGATGACGTTGGAGTGGAGGCCGTAAGCGATGAGGTGCCAAACAATAACAAAATCCCACACACATACACAGGTAGATCTTGCTCACTCACAGTATCTGTTCACATATGTGTGAATATACGCATATGTGTAATGTATATCTCTCTTTTTCTCTGCGTGTGCGTTGGTGTGCGGGTGGGTGACTGGCGTTGCCTTGCACTGCGTGCGTACACAACGAGATGGGGTGTGAGGGAGAGAGCGTGCGATTGAAAGCTGGGGTGAAGGTTGAGGAGGTGGGGGATCGTACGTGGAATGTGCGTACGAATGTATATATCTGTAGGGGAGGGGGGAGTACAACAACGGGGGGAAAAAAAAAGAGATAATTAACTAAAAGAAAAAGGAAAAAAAAAAAAAACGGAATTTGGCCGAAGGGGAACTACTACTCGCACCAATTCCTTCTGTGCGGGTGCTCGGTCCCCCACTTTTTTTACTCTCAGTTCCCCTCCTCCCTCCCCCCTTTTGCCCTCTCGTTTCTTCGATTCCACGCGTTCTCGCCGCTTCCCGCTTATTACCATCTTTCCATTTCTCTCTTCTTGTTTCTCACACGTTGCTGATCGCTGCGATTTGCTACGTATGCTTTACGTGGTCCGCCCAGTTTTGCATGAGTGATAGCGCCGGTAGTGTGTGCTTTTTTGTGTGTGCGGGTGCGGTGATGCCCCCCACCCACTCAAACGGAGAAGGGCGAGGAGTTGGTGAGCTCTTTTTTTTTTTTGTTTTTATTTTTTATTTCCTCTCTTCGGCCTCTGCCTTTGTTTGCATGCACGTAGTTAGTGTGGGGGAAGCCCAAGAAATTGTGGTCGTGCCTGAGCGGGGGAGAGCGGTGCCCGTGCTTTTTTTTTGTTTTCCCGCGCGCGTTGTTGCGTGTGCGTGCTTGTGTTGTGTGGAGGAGGAAATAGCGATGTAGAAAGCAAATGATAGTAATAATAACGTTTTTGTTGCATGCGCTTCCTTACGAGGGTGCCACGCAAAATGGAGTGGGGATAATAAACACAATTCCGGATTCCACCAGACTACATCTGGCGCGCTTGTGTGCATGTTGTTTGGCGTTATGAATTTACGTTTGTTTTTTGCACTCCCCATGTTTTTATTTTCTCCCCGTTTATATGCCGTGGTGCTTTCACTCTTTGCGACCTCCACAACATGCGAGCGAGAGAGAGAGAGAGAGGGAGGGATTAGGGGGCACACGTGAGCAACTGCGTGTGTGTATATCCTTCTCTCTGCTGATGAAGCCTGTTTGTCACTCGCGCTGTTTTTTTTCTTTTTTTTTGTTGCGGGATGGATTTTGAGTTCTGCACAGCGGCAACGACAATAAGCGTCACCCCTGCGTGTGTGTGTAGTGATGGACTTGGATGGCGGTTTTCATCATGAGCGGGACGAGCAGATTATTCCCAAGGTCCTCTGCTGCATGTGTGGCCTGCTGATCGACAGCAACCCCAGCAACATGTGCCCCAGCTGTCTACGTTCACACGTTGACATCACCGAGTCGCTGCAAAAGGAATACATCATCGTGTACTGCCCGGAGTGCGCCCGCTACCTGCAGCCCCCGCAGTATTGGAGCCGCGCAGAACTGGAAAGCCGCGAGTTGCTCACCATTTGCCTCAAACGTATTAAAGGGATGAGTCGTAACGTGTTTAAGCTAGTGGATGCGAGCTTCATATGGACGGAGCCACACTCAAAGCGTCTTAAGGTGAAGCTTGTGCTACAGAAGGAGGTGCTGAGCAACATTGTCATTCAACAGGCCTGCATCGTGGAGTATGTGGTGCTATGGCAGCAGTGCCCAACCTGCCAAAAAGTGGCAACGGGGCAACCACAGTGGGATGCGTGTGTGCAGGCACGACAAAAGGCTACACACAAGAAGACATTTCTTTTTCTTGAGCAACTGATACTGAAGCACAAACTGCATGAGAGTTTTATCCGCGTTGAGACTCAACCAGATGGTTTGGATTTCTTCTTTGCTCATAAGAGTCATGCACTGAATTTTTTGGAGTTTTTAAGCCGTAATAGCCCGATAACACGTCGCGATGCCGTACAGCTGGTGTCGCACGACAGCAAGAATAGCACAGCTGTACAACATCATACGTTTTCGATCGAAATTGCTCCAGTGTGTCGTGAGGACCTTCTCTTGCTTCCGTACCAAAACTACTACCTGAAACTTGGTGGGCTGGGACCGCTGGTACTTGTACACAAGGTATACAGCAGCATCGTGTTGCTTGATCCTAAAACGTTGCGTGCCGGTGAGTTTACGGGGCAGTTCTACTGGAAGAAGCCGTTTTTCTCCATCATGAGCTCCCGCGAACTGACGGAGTTTTACGTTTTGGAATGCACCCCTACCGGTGTCACAAACGGCCGCTACCAACTCGGTATTGTGACCGTCTGCTTGTCCTCCGAGGTGGGCCACGGGCGCGAGTGGATTGTGACTTCCCACCTCGGTGGTCTACTGCAGCCAGGCGACCTTGCGATGGGGTACCTGCTCGAGGGGAAGAACTTCAACAACGAGGAGTGGGACAGCCAGCGGTACAAGCCGGAACAACTCCAGGACGTGGTGCTTGTGCGGAAGCACTTCCCCGCCCAAAAGGCGCGTCGCCACAGGCGGGTGTGGAAGCTGAAGCATCTGGACGTCCTGGACCCTGTCTCCGCGGGACGCAACGCCAAACACCAGGAGGAACTCGAGGGGGAGCGGCGCGAGTTCGAAGACGAGCTTGAACGTGACGCAGAGTTCCGTCGCGACGTGCCCATCTACAAGATGTCGGAGGCCGAGTTGGCTCAGCGTGCAGAAAGGAGCGGCAACGGTGACAGGGGGGCTGATGCCGAAGAGGACGCGGATAATGAAGTGCCAGAGATTGCACTTGAGGAGATGCTGGACGAGCTTAGGATTGAGGACGATGTACTGGATGATGCAGGCGATGACGCGGAAAACGTGAACTCAGAGCACCCAAATAAGAAGCAACGGGTGGGGTAGGTGGCGGGAACGGGTATGACAACTTGTCTGACGCGTTTATGCTTCTCCTTTCCGTCACATTCCGTGCTTTTTTTTTGCCATTGCTCTCTGTGTGTGTGTGTGTGTGAATGAGTTCCTTCTTTTTCTCCTCATCCCCAGGCATTTTTTGAGGTCTCATGCGTTTTGCTTCTCCTGTAACGCCGCTGCATTATTCATAACAAACAAAAAAAAAACAAAAAAAAACAATGAAAGAATGAAACAGTGAAGATATTATTATAACACACTTCATTATTAAAAAAAGGAAATACATAACTTGCACTGTCAGTCTTTTTCTCTTACTCGCTTTGTGTGTGTGCATGTGTTCCACCCTCTTTTGCATTTTTCCACGCGTTACGTTCGTGGTTGCGTGTTTATTTACTTCTCCGCTCACTTGATGTGCTTGACGTTTTCCCAACCCTCTCTCTTGTGGGATCTCCTGTGGACGCTGCGGCCACACCCAAAACACATACGCACGCACGCACTTTTTTCGTTTCGTTTGAACGTGTTGTACGCTGCCGTGAATAAAATTATGATATCTAAATAATAATAATAAAAAAAAAAGGTTGCTGTCCCTGCGGTTGTTTCTTCACGATGCGGGGCGTGGCCTCGATGGTTGCACGGCTACATGAGCGACTGCTTGTGGCGCCGATGACGCCCTCGACGGCGGCGGAGGTGTTGTGCACCGAGCACCCCTGCGCGGACACCGGCGTCACCGCACATTTGGTAAACTGCCTGGAGGGCAACGGCATTCTTCTGCCGCTACCGGCGGTGCTGGCGCTGGTGCGTTGTGGGTACCGTCATGTGCCGGGGTCGGACCACCACGCGGCTCTGAGGAGTCAGTGGGCCCCCATGGAGGAGACACTTTTCACCGCGCTTTGGATTCGGTTGCGGAGGCTGCGGACGGAGGAGGGCACCGCGTGGGGCCATGTGCTGCCATTCCACTCCGGCGTGAAGGCCACAACGGGGCATGAAGGATGTGGGTTGCATTCATCGAACGCACTTTTACAGACACTGTCGCTTTTGGTGGATGTGGCAACTTTTGTCCATCACTCCTCGCTCTCTTCAAAGGCGCGTCGTCTGCATCTTTTGGCGGATGCCGTTTTGCCGGCGATGCGTCAGATCGAAGGGGTCTGGCATCACTTAAATGAACCGAATGCACCTGTTGCCGTCCCACCGGGGCAGCTTCAGGAAATACGGCAGCTGGCCGGGAAGTGCCTGCGCTTGTATGGGAAATACATCCTCTCATTTCATCTTGTCTTGTCTGAGATGTTGTTTGCTGGCATTTCAGCATTGTCACAGACGTTGCAAGACAGCACCCGGGATGCGGCATGTGTAACGGCTCCTACAGTGTTCAATGCGTTATCCGAGATGCGGGAAGTGCTGGTGGGTTCTCTTAGTCGCACAGAGTGTGAGCGGCCGTACTTGGCCGGATCAATGGAGCGCTGGATGGAGTTCGTGGTGCAACTCGCGGAAGTCTTTACATCGGAGGTTACGTTGCAGCTGAAACGTGTTCATGCTGATGGTACTGCAGCGAATTTTCACGAGCTCCGCGCCCTACACGTGGAGGCGCTGAATACGTTTTCAATTCTACTTGTAACTTATCACCGCCGTGTTGCAGTGGAGTCGATGCCGGCGGCGTGCGGCGGCATCTTGGAGAAAGGCCTTGGTGTGTTGCGGCAACTGCTGCGGCTGCTGATCTTGCGACACAGTAACACAACGACGCCCTCATTCTCCTTGCAGTTGAGCTCGACCCGCAGCAGTGACACTGGGGACTACGCGTTGACGGTGAGGGCGTGGTGCGCGTGCTGTGAGGCGGCTCAGGTGCTGTATGCGTTCTCTGTTTCCTGTGAGAACTGCAGCGGGGCCAACGAGCATGACGACGCTGAAGTGCGCTCTGCCCTTTTGCGTCATGCCCTGCACCGCCTCATCTTCTTGCGTGCCAGTGGCGTTGGTGACCATACTGTGCCGCCAATCACGTTTTACTTGACGCTTGTGCGAGCGCTGCGTTCATGGCGGGGTGCGCCGAGTGCCACGGAGTGCGTTTCAACGAGCGCGTTGTGGGATGCCGCACGTGCCACGTTGCCGGGCAGTCTTGCCGCGTCGCCGCCTCCCGTCAGGCTTGTGGTTTTATTTTTGGAGGAGCTGTGCGACAGTATGGCTCTCAATGTCCCCGTGACACCGAAATTAGCATCGCCCCGCATAAGGAAGGAAGCGGCTGTGGTGCAAGCGGCTAGGCGCGCGATGTGGGGTAACTGCCTGAGCCACGTGAATGACAGACTTAATCTGGGGAACACTGCCAACTTGGACGATGACGTCGCCTTTGCCCGTGGCATGTTGCACATTGGTGCAGCAGCCAATTCGGTGCAGGCAGGTGCGGTTGTTGGTCTCTTTGAGAATCATCTCTTTCTTCTTGGCCGACTCCGTGACATTTTGCTGCCTGTGGAACGTGGCATGCGTCTTTGCCTTGATGCCGTGAAGGATCTGCAGGGGGAGGTGCGCAGCAACAGGAAGGTAGAAGAAGAGGACGAAGATGATGAGAACGACTATCGAGCGATTCTTTCTGGTGGGGCGTATTGGTTTGTGTGCGAGGCATGTCTGAGTGGGCGGCTCTGGCACAAGGCGGAAGACGTCATCGCGGGCTCCTCACGGGGCAGCTGCCACTGTGTGTTGCGCTACCGCGGCACCGCCGACATTGTTACTGCCTACGTGGAGTTCTTTGTCCCTGTGCTCGTGCACGGCCGGAAGACGACATGTGGCTCGAACCCGCTAGAGGAACCGTTTGTTGCTTTACGGTCTCTGTATATGTACAAGACAGTTTTTTCTTCTGCAGCTGCTGTGGCTGCAGTGGATCATGGTGAATTGAATACATCTTTGCAGGATACAAACGACACGGCGCCCTCGTTCACATCAGCCGTTTCATTTCTTATTGAATGTCATCAACAACTTCTTCTGCTCCCACCAGGCAGTGTATTGCCGTCGCATGCATGCCGAATATTGCGCGCCATGTTTGCGGTATCACCGCATCTCTTTGTATGTGTGCCGGAACTTTCACAGTTTCTACTGCACCGCCTCTTTGAGAGACCTACAAGGACCGTTGCTGCAGCAGCTGCTACCGTGATGAAGGACACCGTCATCTGGAAGGAGGCTGTGCGTGAGGGCGCATACAGTCTCATTGAGTTGGCTGACCCACGTGAGCTGTGGGAGATGCTTCTCTGGACATGCGCGGCGAAGATTGCTCGACTGAGCGTTTGCTTTCCATCTGGCGTGCACGGCTGTGGTGCTGAAAACGGCTCTGCTCTCTTGTCAAGGGCCGCCTCAGACGTTCGATTGGACGAAGATGCTGAGGAGACGCTCCGCCTGCTGTACGGCATGAATGATGACAGTGACGACATCTTCTTCACAGCAAGACGGCAAGTGCTGCGGCGGGCGCTTCAGTTATTGCGGGGCTGACGAGGAGAGGGGGAGGTTGGGGGAGTTGTCCTGCTCTCCGCACAGCGACGGGGATGCCATTTGCTCCCGGTTTCCCTCGGACGTCGTTCATCGCACTTTTGTTTAAACACGCCTATGTCTTCCTGTGCCTTCCTCTCCCTCTCTCCCTTTCTCTTGTTTTCTTTTGTTTACACTTCACTCTCCTTGTCGCGTCCCTAATGATGGCTTCGGGTTGTTGTTTTGTTATTTATTTATTTTTGTGCGGAAGCTTCTTGTGTCGTGCCTCGCTCACGCGCCGCCCCGCTTTCGGCCTCCCTCCACGCACGTCTGACCCGCCATCTGCCTGTGTGCCTGCTGCAAGCCATACCCGTGACGCTGCTACGAGTGCCGTTTTTCGTTTTGTTTTGTTTTGTTTTTGTTTTTGTTTTGTACGTTGCGTTGGGCGTACCTCACATGTATGCTTCGCTGCCGTAGGCGCCTTTCGGACACGGTGGCGAGTCGGAAACAACACGCAAACCAAAAAAGAAGAAAATCCAAAACAAACAAACAAACAAAAAAAGTGGAGAAAAAGTAGGCGGGTGGGCAACGGGGTAGTCGACTGCGTCCATGTCTCTCCCTACCAGACGCAGGAGTCGCGCTATCCTTGCTCCGCATGTACTCAACCCCTACGAGGAGGATGAGGAGATAAGTGCGGTGCATCGCAAAAGTCGCGGTCTTGACGCCGTCTCTTCCGCGCCACCACCACCGCGGCGTGCGCCGTCAGGGGCATTGAGGCATCAAAAAGTGCCGTCGCCGATACGTGTGCCGCGTACACGTGCGCCGAGGCCCTCGAAAACCGTCGTGAGGGTTGATGCAGACGCTGTTAGTGTGTCAACTGTTGCTGACCCTGTGACAACCGTGGCGTCGTCGGCACGAGATGCCTCTTGCCGTGAAACACAGCGGCCGTGCTCCGCGCCGTCGGTTCAGCACACACGTCACGCATCGCTCTCCACACATGACGTGGATCACCGGAACGCGGGCACAACGCGTGAACTGAGTGATGTAGGCAGTGCTAGGCGCGACGGTGATGATGCGGCGGAGGCGCATCCCTCACAAACTGAGCCACAAGGCCACCATTGGCACACACCGTTTGTCGTTCAAAGTGCAGTCACCCAAGATAATCCCTTTCGCACTCAGACATTTGAGGCCTTCTGCTGCGCTCCAGATTACACTGCACCAGCGGATTACCGCATCTACCAAGGTGACAACGTTGCATCCATGGGATATCAACGCACAACGGAGGGAGAATTGCGCGAACAACGTGTTGTTGATTCTTATTCTCTCAGCCGATTAGGTTCCACCACATTCTCTCTATCCAAATACCTCGTCGTTGGGGCTGTCTTGGGAACCCTGCAGTCAGGCGACTGGTTTTACAAGTGGACTCAGCGTGGACGGGTGCATGAACGGTATGTTTGGCTGGATGTGCAGCGTCATTCACTGCTGTGGGGTCCGAGTCCACGCCCGGCATTTATTTTTCTCTCGCATCTACGGATAGAATTAATCATCGATGTACGCCCGGAATGCATGTTTGACGAGGCAACACAGCGCACGTTTTATCGTATTTTTTTAGTAACCGAACAACGCACCGTTGCGTTTGCCACGGAGGTGCGCGATAAGTTTGATGTCTGGTTTGACGCACTACAAAAAATTGTTTTGGCCCACAACTCTTCACGACAGTGGGGCCAACTCTGGGGGTCGTCAAGCGCGGGGGAGGCGGCAGCAGCGGAAGGCAGGTGGATCTCTCGCTGCAGCCCGGTACATGCCGTCTTGCACGGCAATGCATCCATCGGGCAGCTTGCGGGAAACGAGAATGCCATTAGCCACCCGCGCACTCAGGTCCTGCCAAGTGACTAGAGGAGAGGGAGAAAGGGAGACGAGGGAGGAGGAGGAGGAGGAGGAGGAGGAGGAGGAGGAGGAGGAGCAAAGCAGCATGCAGGAGCATGGAACAGAATTAGAGTGTACTGTGGCAAGCGGCCAAGAGTTAGAGGGACGCATATACATGTAAATATGCGTCTTTTTGCATCTATATCTTCGAGGATGATGGCGGGGCGGCGAGGGGTGCATGAGAGAGGGCCACGTGGGACGTGAGCCCTTCGATTCACTTTTGTTGGCTCACAGTATCTTTACCGATGCCACATCCATCATCAACTTATTTTTCTATTGTTTTTGTATTCGTTCCTATTGTTTGGTGTTATTTCTTGACCTGATGGCAAGGCTCGCCCTCTTCCTACGTGCGCTTCTGGAACGTACGGTGCGCATCAAGAAACAGTCGAGGGTAGAGAGGCATGAACGAA